AAAAATCCATCAAATAAAGCCAAACAATATCACAACTAATTAGGTACCCGAAAAGTAACTCTTAAATAATATATAGAAGATTAAAATAATATTAAATCAAGAGACAAGAAAGTTAAATGCTATCTTCTAGCCTAGTGCCCTTGGCAACACAGGTCAATGTTTTTAAACTACCCTCAATGTTTTTGGAACAGCAGGGCCTTTTTCTCTTAAGGAAGGGTAGTAGTATGTCAACAAAAACAATGAATCAGTCTCACCAGCCAGGCCCGGGCAACGATGTGTGAATTCAAGGTCATAGACCCTCCCCCTCCCCTCTTACACCACCCGGTTGCTACCCAGTTGCTTCAATTGCTGACAAAATGCAAGTGATGAAACAAGGAAGTAGAGACAAAGAAATATATTTCTTTATTCAAAAACACAAAACTGTTAGAGATTATTTTCAAAGAAATTAATTCAATGTAATTTGTGAGTTGTAAATATTGTATTGGATCTTAGAAATATATTTTTTTAACCCCATCTAACCAAGATACAGATCTGTTCACTATATCAGATATTTCTTTTGTTTATAATTTATTATGTAAAATAATAAAATATATTTTTAATTAGGTATTGAATAAACAATAAATGATTATACTAGTATGTCTGGATAAATAGTCTTTCTATTCTTTTGACTTTGTTTTCTTTGCACTGTTAGTGTTGCGTCACGGCTTTTGTTACTCTTATCAGTAGACGACTAGACCTGGCTCTGGCTAGTGGCAGTGCGGCAATTGCTCTGTTGTGTCTTTATTCTTAAAGGTCGTGAGCCAACTTAATTTTTAATTCTCATTTGAACATTTTAATTCCTCTGTAATAATAGATATAATAATATAAGAGTGTTTCTTTGGAAATAAATTATTCTTTTTTTTTCTTTTGCCCCAACAAAAATTCGGGGACGGGGACCGGCAGACACCTAACAAAAATACCAAATGAATCAGTCTATAACATTAATCTTACTAGTTAAGTATTAAGTAACAATTTTTCAGACTTATTTTTAAAATGATTTTGGAGTAACCTACCTTGTTTTGGCTAGGTTCACAGTAGTAAAATATTTCACACTCTGCTTACATCAAGACAAAAAACAAACCTCTAATCATTTGCAATGTCAAAACAAAAAAATATAAAACAATTAAAGCTATATTTAATGCAAAGAATGTATTAAATAAGAACGCCTTCGTAAAGGAAACGCAACAGCAACGCGCTCCTGTATTGCGGGTATTGCATTGACTTTCTGCAGGCGTTTTTCGTATATGGATACTGACTCCCTCGTGAATCGAATCGTTTTTTGACCACCACTGAATCGAATCGCGATTCGATGCATCGAATCGAATCGAATCGAAATTCCGATGCATTTTCGATGCATCGCACACCCCTAGTGTATACTCAAATTAACCGGTAAAGCGAGCTGAACAAGAATATGCAAGAGCCATATTGATACACGACAATTCAAAAATGATTGTCATTTTCGTCGGAAAAGTACCGTTTTCCCGGAAAAGCGGAAAAAACAAGTTTTGCAGAAATGGGTCATGTGTATATTCAAATTAACCGGTAAAGCGAGCTGAACAAGAATATGCAAGATCCGATTACTATTAACGGAGATACGGCAGGAAAAGCGTCAGAAAAACCCTTGCTTATATTAGGTTAGGTTGGGTTAGGTTAGGTTAGTTTGGATTAGGTTTTATAACCTAACCTAACCCAACTTAACCTAACCTAATGTAACCTAATGTAACCTAACTTAACCTAACCCAACCTAACCTAACCTAACCCAACCAAATCTAATATAATCAAGGGTTTTTCTGACGCTTTTCCTGCTGTATCTCCGTTAATAGTAATCGGATCTTGAAAAATCTTGCATGTTCTTGTTCAGCTCGCTTTACCGGTTAGTTTGAATATACACATGACCCATTTCCGCAAAAATTTGGTTTTTTCCGATTTTCCGGGAAAACGGTACTTTTCCAACGAAAATGACAATCATTTTTGAAAAAGTCGCAACAAGCGTCATCGCAAAAGTGTAAAGGAACTTTATTCTAGACAATTTATTAAGGAATACAACGAATTTCAGATTATTGTAATCGAATCAGCCATATAGGATATATGAGAGTTTTAGTAAAACCATGCAATTCCTGACTTTGAGGGGGGGGGGGGGAAAGCACCGGGGGGATTTTAGGGGACTTTTGGTAAAATGTACATCTTTATGGGTACTATTCAGTGGTATATAGTTTTGCTTGTCACTAATTTGTTCCGACACAAAACCTTTATTGACTGGGCTACAGTAAACATCAATTTCTTGCATGTATTCATTTGATCTGATATTAGGCAAGTTTACTTTACCACTGTGACAACACGATGTGTATATTCTTTGTATATATTTTCCACTTCCAAAGTAAGTTGTATAGCAGAACTCAACTGGAAAATATTATTCCATTATTCATCCCTCCAAGTGAGTGTGTATCTGGATTCCTTACAGTCAGACCAGGCCTCTCTTCTTTTACTCGTCTCGTATGCATAAGATCTCTCATTTTTTATAAACAGCTGATCATTGTTTTTAATTGTTCTGTGTAACTCTTATAGGGGGAAAATCAACCTTTGAGAGTGCATCCTTAAGGGTACCTAAGGGGTTTTAAATTCTAAAAACTTATTGCAAAACTAAAAATTGAGACAAATTATTTGACACTTCAAATGTTGAAATTGGTCCACAAATAACAGAGGAATAGTGTTCACAAAAAACTGCCAAACGTAATCTATATACAGGGTGAGTCTTCTAAGCTGTCCTAAACAGATTACAGACAAAAGGGTTGACATACAGAAATCAAACAAAACTTTTCCCCGCTAATTCATACCCAAGGAACAAAGTAAAAATAGTTTTATCATTTTAGCGAATTTCCCTATAGGGAAGTAGCTATTACCGTAGGTCTCATGGTAAGACCCAAGCCTGGGACCGATTTACTTTTTCATTTTGATGTCCCCAGAGGCCAAAAACACCATTCGTTCAAATTTTTATACATCTATATATATATATATATATATATATATATATATATATATATATATATATATATATATATATATATATATATGTATATATATATATGTGTGTCCATCCGCACGATAACTTGAGTAATTTTTGTCCGATTTTGATAAAATTTGGTTTAAAGGTGTAAGGCGGGATAAACTTGAACGAGTTCGCGAACCAGCATGATCGGACTATGGGAACTAGGTTACACAATGTTTATGGGGGGTTTTATGGGGTAAAAATAGGGTTTTCTCATTTTTGACCCTAAAAACACAAAATTTCACAATTTATTTTCAAACCATTTTGTAGAGCTTAAAAAAACAAATAATTTAGTATATTGAAGCGTTATTATGCGCCTAATTGTTACGGAGAAAATTTAAAAAAATGTAATTTTAAAATTCCCATGTTATTCTTATGGAGAATAAGTCAACTGTTGTAGTTTGCTTGTTAATGAACATATTTTGATCAAATTTGGAAAATACATTAATTTCTTACTAAACCACAGTACCTTTTAATATTTTACATTAAAAAAACTTGTTTACCCTCCCTGTTGCAGCAAACCTAAGTACTCATTAAACTAATTCTGTTTGAATAGGGAATAAATGTGATATTTTTAAGGAGACATTTTAGTTTAAATCCAATCAGGCAGTTGGAAATTCGCTAAGTCTGCAGGTTTGCTTCGGCGGGGGTATTATAAGTACAGGGTGTTCAAGAAACTGGGGGTCATGGGTTCGAATCTCAGAGTTTTCAAATGTAAACATATGTCATGTTATGCATCATTTTGAAGCTCTAGACTAGACAAACAATTTAGTGAAAACAGAACTCATTTATCTTTGTCAATTTCAAAATGGCGGCCATTTTTAAAGAAAATATTGATACTTACAGAATACCCTGTATCTTGAAAACCACTAAACTTATTTTCGTTTTGTTTGAAAATTCTTAATGCTTGTAGGTCCAGCTTTAATTTGATATACAACAAGTCAACATTTAAAAAACTAAATATTATTTCTATGATTTTAATTTTTTTTTAAAGTTGGTAGCCTTGTAAATGAAAATTTTTAAATGGCAACATATGTAAAATTGTGTATCATTTTGAAGGTCTTGTAAAAACAAACAACTTTTAGAAAGGCGAGTTAGCGTAGCGAACGAGCTCCAACCTAACGGTGAGTGAGCGTAGCGAACAAACTTCAACCAGGACGTGATTGAGCCATGACAAAAAACAAGCATTTGACAAAAAACCACATTAGGACAGGACGACGTCTATCAGGCTAGCTAGTCTATATATAGAATAGATACATAAATGGAAATTTAACTGTAGGCTACATTGTTTTTAGCCTCTGGGGACATTAAAATAAAAAAGTAAATAGGCCCTAAGTCTAGGCCTTACTGTGCCACAAAGATACTGTTCTAGCTTCCCTATAGGAAAATTTGTTAAAAAGTGATACTACAGTAGACTCCCTCTTATTCGGACACCTTTTAACCGGACATCGGTTTAACCGGACTACGTTCAGTGGAAATGGCATCTCTTTATCTGCACAATTTTTATCAGCACATAGGTTTAACCGGACTAGATCGGCAGGAAGTGGGAGGTACTGAAACGACTGTTCTCATGGGAAGGAATTGACACCAGTGATCACGTGTCTAAATCCAATGCTCTCCTAAATATAAGTCAAATAATGTATATAGTATGCATTTTAACGGTCCGTTTTAACGAGTTTTTGGGGATGTTGGTTTAACCGGAAAACTCGTTATCCGGACTGGCCTCGCTCCCGAGGAGTTCGGATAAGAGGGAGTCTACTGTAGCTGAAAACTTACTTGTTTAAATATGTTATAATTCTTACGGTACAAAAAAAAACCCAAAACAATCAAGTAATCGTTAAAATTGGTTTTGATCTGATTGTTCTTTACTGGCATTACAAGGTACAGTAGGTTAAATTTCGCAGTAAATACTCACAATGGTTTTGGCTGACTTTGATTTTTTCTCCTTTTTCTCTTTCTTCTTTTTCTTTTCCTTATTATCACCACTCCCTCCAGAAGCCTCAGAGTCGTCATCTGAGTCTGTGGGTTCAGGATTTGAGTCAAACCTACAACAATATAAACAAAAAAAGCATTGAAGCTGTGGAATCACTGTGAACTCTACTGTTATTATTCAACATGCATGTTGTGTCCAGTATTTTTGAGTGGAGCAAAGAGAAACTCTAATGCTACACTCATGCTTTTGTTTTACAAATACTCCTCCTGAACGGCTGAAGCGATCTGCACGAAATCTAGGGACCTCAAAACCAAAAAGTAAATTCGGTCCCAGGTCCAGGTCTTGCCATGAGTACTACGGTAATAGCTTATTCCCTATATGGGAAATTCGCTAAAATACATGTTTTCGAAACACAGTCTACCCGAAAAAGTCAGACACCTAACGGATAGTGTTGGATATCCGAACCTAACCAAAACCAATTCGATTTACGGAATACGTACACTTCTATTAAAAACAATTGTAGATAACTTTTATTGTTATCATATAATATTGTTAAGATTGCAATTGCATTATTACCCTATTAATAAATTATTATATTAGTAATAAATTATTATCCTAGTAATAAATTATTAAACTCTTAGACAATCATCTCATAATCCTTTGTTGTGCTCATAACCAACTACTATGATCATAACAACCACCAGCCTGAAAGAGACCAGAACATCAACAACCGACATATCCTTGCTTACAATATTGCCCAGACATGTTTAGAATCCTAAACAACAGCTTTCCTATATTTAACTAGAATTTTAGATGTTTACTTACTCTTCAGCAACATCACTTTCAGCCAAGTTTGGGTTGAAATCCTCATCCGTGCTCTCGTCTTCCTCACTACCACCGTCATCCTCGTCTCTCTCCTCTGCCTCTCGCTTGACCCGCGCGAGGTAAGCGTCTGGAGCCCCCTCCTGGTCACTATCACCAAAGTCATCTGCGTAGCTCGGCTTGTCCTGGATACCAAACACTCATTAATCCAATTATTACTTTCAAACGCAGTGGAATGTTGATAAATTTATGTGTTTCACAGAGTAAAGCCTACCATGCTACAATGGTGTAACATTTTATTAAGGTCCTAGTCAAATTTTTTCGGATGACATGTTCTACAAAAAAAGGTTGATTCTTTAAAAAAGATTTTGGCATTAAATTTAAACTCTGGTGTTTAAAATACAGTCATTATCTTGAAACAGTTTTTTTAAGGTATGACTATTTTTTTCTAAAATCAATATTCCTGTAGTTATAAGGGCACTAATTCAGCAAGGCGTATAAAAGAAAGTGTGTGCATAGCGAATTACTAAACATTCGTCCAGTTCGCGCAGCTACGTAATCATAACTCTTTTGAATATGTGTAGGTTTACACGTTTATACCAAATTTCACCAAAATTAGATAATTTTTGCTCAAGTTATCATGCTAACTGACACACACACATGTACTGTATGGATTTTAATTTGAAATGACAGTGTTTTTGGCCTCTGGGGACCTAAAAATAAATTGGTCCCGGGTCCAGGTCTTACCACGTTCTATTCTCTTTATAGAAAATTCGCTAAAACAAATGTTCTTATTTATGACAGCAAAATTATCTACAGAGGTTCTAACATGCAACTAACTCACATTTTTGCCACGATTTTTGACTCTCAGTTTTTTAGAGGCAATGAAGTCAAACAGCTTAGTGTACTCTTCCTTCTCAATACTGCTGAAAGTGTGGACAACGGTGGATTTGAGCTCCACCTCAAAGTCAAATGACCTGCCAACATGGACATTGGGATTAGAACGACCATTTACTTTAATAATTAATTTTTCCTAAACCCAGCAAAAAAAAAAAAAAAACATCAACTTGTATTTGGTGGCATGCATAATAATATGTTATCTGTGGCAATGCTTTAAAGCCACGTTTATGATACACTTTTATTTGTTTACTGCACTATTTGAAAAATACCCACGCCGAAGCATACCTGCAGAATTTTCATTTACCTGGCTAGATTTTCACTAAAATATTCCATTAAAATTGCCAGATGTATTTCCTATTTATGAAATACTACAGTTTACTTATTCTCCATAATAATGACATAAATATTTTTAATTAGCACTTGTTTAATCTTCTCTACAACTGCAGGGTTGTCAGCAGAATCTATAAACAAAATTCACACATTTTTCCGGGTTTTCCAGGCTAAAAAGTACGAAATTCCCGCCGACTAATTTAGGCTACTTAGTACTAATACTCATCAAAAATAAGGTTACAAATTTACATTAATGAGTTTCACATTTTGCAGAATAAACTTGGCCTACTGAAGCAGTTTCGAACTGCCGAACGTTTCAATTTTCGCGTTATATTTGCTGATAGTTATCCCTTTAATACATACTGCGACGTCTATCCAGAATTTCTGGGTAGACTGTGTCAAGGATAAACTAAAAATAATATTTACACTTACAATACTTTAGGCAAGATGGTGTTGAGCCTATACTCGGTGGAACGCATCAAAATATTCGTCAAATGAGTACAGTGGTCGGTCGACTAGCCAGGCTTTAACTTTCTTTTTAAAAGCGGACGGTTCACAAGACTTAAATCTTTGGGGGAGATCATTGTACATCCTCCGAGCCCTAATGCGGAATAAGCTTTGCGTTTTGGCACGGCCACCTTTTACTACAGGCCGCGGCCAGCGAGAATTGGCAACTTCGCACCGAGCATTAACTCCCGGCTGTTTCACCGTTACGGTAGTACCGAACTAGTGGTCGCGGTTTAAATATACTGCATTTTTACACCCTTACAGTTGAGATAAAATTTTGAAATTTAATACAGAGCTAGGGAATGAACCCTTCATGCCAATGGTATGGTTTTGAAATTTAAAATGTCATTTGGTAGTATATATACATATTTTTAAAATTAAAATAATGGAAAAAGTTTGGAAAAGATAAGTGAAAAAGTTAGTCGCCTACTAAAATTTTTGTTTCTTGGTCAGAGAAGTTTCGTCAGTGAGAAAGTTGTAGATAATCTATACTATTATCTATATCTATACTATTATATAAAAATCTGATGGTGTCTGTCTGTATGTGTATTACTAATAGGTGCAAAAACTACTGAACCAACTGGGCTAAAATTTTACAAAAATATAGTTACCATACCAAGGACGATTATAGGACTATTCACATTTCAAAAGTTCTGAGGTGAAGATTTTAAAAGTAAATATTGATTGGTCTCCATGGCTGTGATGAGAACACTAACAATGTTTGTTTAAATTTGCTTTGACATTTAAATGTAAACAAGAAGAACTGCTAAACTGCATATTTCACAACTTCAGACAGCTGATACAAAGAAATTAAATATAATATTTTCCATAACTATGAGGTAGGTTTATTTTAATCTAACCTTTTATCATGGATTATTTATTCTAAAACTATGTCAATGATTATATAAAAAAAAGATTCCATAACCGTTGCTGTACTCCCGGTATCAACTCCGGCTCTGCTTTGAATTTTTTCAAAGCGTCTAAGTTATGAAAATACTATTATTTATATGATTTCATGGAAAAAGTATGAAAATTACAATGTATAGATGTTTTATATGAATTTGGAGGCTACTTTAAATAAATTCTAACTGCTTAACATGTGTTAGATTAACTAAACATAACTTGCACATCACATTGTTTTTTTTTATATGTATATTTAGGTAAATTAAGTTATTGTGTTTTGTTAAACCTATGCTTAAATTAAACTAAAGAACATCATCAATAACTAAATTGTACGTCGTTGATTTTTGTTTTTTTTTTTATCTGTTGTATATGTTTAACTATAATTAATTATCAAATGGTAATACAAAATACTCTTATTTTATCTTAACATAGCTTTCAGTTCACATTTACTTTATTTGATAAATTTATTATTTGTGTTTTGCCACACCACTGATTAAATTAAACCAAGGAAAATATCATAAAACTAAGCAGTAAACTGTGTTCCTTTGTTTCTAAAATCAATGAAATATCTGTTACTATGTTTACTTAATGGTAAGTGTGCAATATGTAAAGGCAATGGACGATGGAACTGATTAAAAAAACTGGTTTGTATATTAAGTTGTTTGTTGATATTTTTGTAGAGTAGAATCAGGGATGCAGTGAAACATATACTGTATTTTCTGTTACATTTTTTAGTCCTTGATGTTTTTATAATCATATTAGTTTTGTCTACTGTCTTTAATGCTAAATTATTTGTTTAAAATGTTTTATAGTACCTATAGATATAGTTTCTTTAATACTTCTAAAGACTGTATTGGTAAGGCACAGCAATATTTCTAAAGTTTATAACAGCTGACTTAGTTTTGCTAATGATTTATTGTGAGTGAAGATACTGAAGATGGAAGGATTTGTGATTTAATATAAAGAAGAGTGAAATTTAAAAAAAATGTTCATTTAAATTTAATAATTAGAAATAAATTCAAAATTGAAATTTAAAATGTCAATAATAAATAAAAAGATATGTCATTAAGGGAGATGAAATGGTAGTACCCACTACTTACCAGATTTAAAGTCATAACTTAAACGTTTCTATTAAAGGCCATAAAAGTTGAATTTCGTTTCTAAAAGCGTTGGCGGATGTGTAACTATTATATGCAACAGATGTAAAGATTGAAATGTTTCAATTTTGTGTCCTCTTCCCGTTGCAAAGCACGGGTACAACAGCTAGTCTATATATAAAGCCAAAAGTACCCATGAACTTTTGAGAAAACTACAAGTCACACCCCCATAAACCGCATACTCAAAATGTTCGTCATGACGAGAAACCTTGCGCGAAATTAATACGAGTTTTTTCATAAATTGCCATTTAAGGTCATAATTGCTTTCCAAAGGGAACATTCCATATACTGTACTTAATGTTAAAAATACCTCAGCTGTTCTTATTTGTATATTATTCTTTCAATTTATTACCTTTTTAAAATCTTGTGTGATTATTTGTTTGTAATGCTGTATTCTGTTTTGTTTATTTCAGCTTATCTTAACCGATCAATAGTTTTTTTTTTTTTTTTTAATACTTATGAAGTCAAACGGGTACCCGTGGGTAACAGCTAGTTAAATATAATTTACGCTTTCTATTTAACTTTTCTTTCTATCATGCTTAGTTTTGTTATAATTTTGGGTTGAACAGAACGACCAAATCTCAGTTTTATGTCGCGGCGGGCGAGTAGCGCTGCCCCGCAAGATGTAGTGTAGTATCGCATAGCTAATAATTAATGTAGGCCAACTGAATTATTTCAAGCAGGTTAATATGCGTTTTGGTTACCCTCAAGAAATATACATACATTCCCAAAAAGTACAAAAGTTCAGTTATAACTGAAAGCTCTACATGTGTTCCTTTTAGCGAATTTCCCACATAGGGAATAAGCTATTACCGTAGTGAAACACACTAGACCCTTAACCTAACCTAACCAGGTTCGGCCCATGGCTGCCCAACCGTCATAAGCAGTCACAAAGCTCCAGAGGTAATTAAACAACACAAAAATAACAAAATATAAATTTAATTTCAGTCAAATATATATACAAGTATCATTACAAACCATTTCCAGTAGCCTACTCAATATTGGTTGGTAACAAATTAATAACTTCAATTACACTGACAGAATGATAATAAATGCTAGGCCTACTAAATGGTGAATAACTTAGTTCACCTTAAAACAGTTAAACAATTGACGATCAAGCGTAAGTCATGACACAATAATTACAAAGTCAAATAGACAAGAATTCAAATGAGATATTTATTTTAAATTTATATCAGAACCTAACTTAGGCACTAGGGGCAAATTTAGAAAGAAAGGCCGAATTAGTAAAATTTAGAGACAAGGTTTAACCAATTGTGCCCACTAGGCCGGTCAAGAAAACTGAAATAAAATCTAACTAGGCTAAGTTACAAAAGAAAATACTGAAACATTAATAATTAATAGATTGGTGTTAAAAAGAACACTGAAGTAAAATTACATGGGCTAACAATTGAGGCTGGACCGAGGATGTCCCACACACTAAAACCATTTGACGGGTAAACGGAATGCAGAAAAAGTTGTAGAATTTAATCGGGTATTTCTAAGTCTATGGTTGTTAATAAAATGGAAAAACACCACCTGGCATGAAACGCCGGCAGCGGTAACTTCTTACATGGTCAGCAGGATGTGTGTGTGTGTGGTCCTCGGTCCTCTCTTCATGGCCTCATCACGGGTCTCAGATCAGGCTGGTGTCAGTCATGGCCCGGGAGCCCCAACATAATCGAATTACGACAACATTCTTAGTTGCTTGCCCCTTTATAAAAACTCCGAACAAATCTTGAAGACAACATAGCACGATGGTATTACAACTTATAAAAAATCAACAAGATGGAGAAAAGTAGCGAGTCGTAGACGTAACCCAAGAAGACTGACAGTAGCCGACAACCCAAACGGCCCCACGAAACCGGAAATTGACGAGAAGAACTGGAACGTTGGAACGTTCGAGAAGCTTCTAGAAGCTCAACGGCCTGCGAATGAAACAAGCGGACACTTCCGCCTTAAAAAAAACATATTCATGTAATAGAAGACCTGAGCCGCCAACTCGCACGGCTCAGTAGTACTTATGGTAAGACCTGGACCCGGGACCGATTTAATTTTTTGTTTTGAGGTCCCTAGAGGCCAAAAACACCATCCGTTCAAATTCATATCTTACTGATATCATACATCTGAAAGTTTGTGAGTTTGTGTGTGTGTTTGTGTGTGTGTATGTTGCTCAATCACGC